AACATCTTATCTGAGTTGGATGGCTCACCTAGATTGTCTATACCTGTTGTGGGCACAGACCCTTTGTGTCTGTTAATTAAATGCCATAACTTATCTTTGGCTCGGAGTGTGTTGGTGTGGGACGAGGGGGGTCAGAACAGTGATGTATACAATTATGACATGAGGCTGCCATATCTGTTGATGAAACTCTTTTAAAGTCCCATGGGAAAAATCAAGGAATCTGCAATATGAGTTTTTAAAACTCTTTAAATTAATCTATGCTATGATGAAAGTCAAGGTGATCATTTTGATGCCATCAAGTTATCCCTGGGAATTGGATTCCCAAATGATGTCAGCACTCCTTCTAACTGTATCTTGAGTCTACTAGTGTAGATAGGTCAAAGGGTGCTATCATACTAAAACTGAAAATCTTGGAAGGATTTTTCTCCATAATGACTAAACAAAGTAATATATTCCTGAACTGTTAAGGGATAATCTGTTATGATGTGATTACTGAGCCATTCAAAAAACGATTGAACAAGAGCCTTCAGAAAAAAGCAAATGCACTCTTCTTTAAGATTAGTTTCATTAACTGCAAATCCAAACACATAAAAAAGTTGCTGTCTTCTTGGTTAGTAGACTAATACATAACTATTTCCTTTTTAACAGGAAAAGAAAGGATGGGAAAAACTGGAAAAAGGTAGCTTTGCTTTAAAGCAACACACGTATATGAAATGACAATTTAATTTGATTTTTATTTTTTAAATTTTAATTAAAAATCTAGAATCCTTCAATTATTTCATAAATGAAAGGGAAAACTTTAATAATGCAAATATCAAGACCACAACATACAAGTATGTTGTAATTCTTACAAGTCTACGTTTGAAATCTATATATTCAGCCACGTTTAGGGTGCTAAATTTAGGTTGCAAGCTGACTTCATCTTAAGTTATACCACAGATACAACATGTTTCTCTCTATTTTTGGAGTAGTAAAATGTGTTTCTGTCTCTCTGGTGCTTCCAATTGAGAGTACATTTTTAAATGAAGGACTTGGCAACATTTGAGGACAACAGGAGAGAAAGTATTGACATTTAAAAAAAAATAAAACGTAGGCGGTATCTGTTTTTCCGCAATTTTGAGAGGGAACAATTAGCTTATCAAGTTTGTTGGTCAGTTTGCTACGCGATCCTAACATTATGTAATACACACACACATACACACACAAATTAAAAGCAGTTCTACTATATTGGCTCATAACTTCTGAAAAATTTCACTCATTTAGAAATAAAGAAAATGCTTCATTATGTTCCTTTGGTGAATACAAATGGTATGAGATCTTGCCAATGTACTATTTTTAGCAAACAGTTAACAGTTCTTGTTATTACCAACATTACCTGTAAAGTAAACTAAGGTTGCCACCTTGTGGTTTGGTAAATTACTACTACTTGCCTGGGAAGGTGAAACTTCTCCCCCTCACCTTCTAAATAAGAATATTGTACTAATTTTTTTGAGAATGCAAAACAGAGACAAAATGTTTGTTGAAAACATTTCCTTGAAATTGAACTGGCATTGCTTAAATTCAGCCTGGCTGCCTTTGAGATAAAAAGTGACTAAACACTGACCAAAGTAAGGGTTATCCATAAGGATAGCCCGTTTGTTATAGATGATCCTAAAGACAAGATAAATTTAAGAAATGTTTTCAGCAGCACTAAAAAATAACACTCTGAAAATTATTTACTTAAAATGTTCTCTACCAAACTAATATGGCATTTCCAGCATTATCTCTGTGAACAACTCTAGAAAACTTAACAAATTGAAAAGAGAAGAATGATAGAAGCGAATCCAGAAATGATGCCAACAAGGAATTCCTTTCTTTCAAAAGGGACTTCCTCTACTTTCATTTCTAAAATCAGAATGAAAGAACATCCAGTAAAAATATTTTTATTATATTGAAGCCCAGGGTATTTTAGAAAATTCTTTTGCCTATGTTTTAGCTGGTAAGCACACTTGTTTTTGATAAAATAATTTTCTAAAACACTTTGGACTTCAATATATTATGTTGTATTTCTACAAAATAGATGATTTCCTACTGGCATTTGTGATACTTTCCCCGTTTTATGTAGACTAAACGTAATAAATAAGTTAAATATATTTATATAAATATGGATATGAATCTATATTCAAATAATTATTATTATTGTAACAACACATTAGAAATGATGGATTACTCCATCTCTTATTTTTTTTCAAAATTAGTGTAGTGACTTATGCTAATTGTAAAGAATGAAAATAAGCTTTAAAAAGCAAATATTAAGATAATATAAACAACATCTAACTTCACAAAGTCCTGTGAATAAAACTGTCTGCAAATAAATGAAGAGTTTTGTCAGAGTATAAATTTTCGGGATTTATAGCACTCAAACAGGTATTTATTACCTTGAGACTATGCTAGATCCGTTGTAGAGATCACTTGCATAAGACAGTGTTGCCAAAGGTCGAACAGAATTGTAGCGAGTAAACTTAAACAGGCACTCTTGAAATTCATCCAGCTGGTTTGAGGTTCTACTATCATCTAGATGGGAGAAAGCAGGGAGAAAAGAATGCGGTTTAAAAAATTTACAGGAAGGGGAAAATGGTAAAACATAGTTTCAGCAACTGCCACTACACTTTTACAGATCAATTAAATACTGTTTTTTTCTCTATTCTGCGGGACTAGCATAGAAATGGTTACACGTGTAGTCCATTAAGATCTGAAAATATGTTCTGCAGTACACAGCAAATACGGAATTTAAGCAGAATACCTGAAAGTCATATACAATCTTTCATCATCCTTTCCCAGCCTGACGCCTATCAGATGATATAGTAGGTACCACACAGATGTCATCCCCCACAAGCATGATTTGGCCATAACCAAGTACTTCTGTGGAAAATACATACAATGTAAAAGTAGTCTTCTATTAGTTTGCCTAATTCTAAATCTCTTAGTAAAACTAGCAAATAGTTTGAGAGGGAAGAACTAGTTTGAGAGGGAAAATAACTTTTCAACTATTTTAAGACATGAGAAAAGCATCCCATCAAACTTGCTGCAACATAACTGCATACATATTTATATAATATGAATACAAATCCCAATGGATGTTATATTCTATAATCGATATTTTAAAAAGCCACTTTCATATTACAAAGCTGGGATGTAATCAACTTAAAACTTTGTTATGTTGAACATGATAAATCTAGGAAGAGACAAGGATAGGTCAGGAAAAATTTCTGCTGGATGTTGAGAAAAACAGGTAGGTTGTTTCGTGACCCGTCAAAACCGCGCTCGACTAAGCCGCGCCCGATTAAACCGCGTTGCTGACGTCATCAGCAGGGCGACAACAGCCAGCGCAGAGAAAGAAAGGCGCTTTAA